CTCATCTGAAGTTAACATGGATTCGCATTTCAACATTCAGCTCCAGGATCTTCCCTTAGTCACTTATTAAGTCTTAGTTGAACAGATGTGTTATTATGAGTTGCAATCTTTATGTATGATGAGCAAAGCAACTTATATATTTATTGTGTTTATCTGCATATGCAACTACACCTACATTTCAAATTATTTAGGGACATGTATTATTTAGGTTTCAATCTCATTTTATTATGATTTTGGGTTATCGTATAGCATAGTGGTTATGAGTCAGGCTGCTAACCTCAAGGTTAGCAGTTTGAAAATACCTACAGTTCCATGGGAGAAAGATGAGTCTTTCTGTCTCTGTAAAGATTTACAGCCTGAAAAACCCTATACAGGATCTCTATGAGTTGGAATTGACTCCACAGCACATCACCACCACCATAGTATTAAAATATTTGCTAAACAAATGAAAGATTGAATATTTGGTGTTCAACATCTGCTTCACTGTCTAATGAATCACAACTTTCAAGAACTCAGTTCAGATGTTACCTCATGCTGGGAACCTTCGCTAAATTATCCTTTCACTATAGGCTAATGTGTACCCCATTGTGTCTTATGAAATCTTATATTCTAAATCATACAGTATTTACAGTTTCAAAAGATTAATACCCATTAGGTGTCTTTAGAGTTTTTATATGAAATCCTAAATTCAAGTGTGCCAATATAGTCAATAATGAATATATTCAGAAATGAATAGTAATGCTGAAGTGAACATGTTTTCTAAAGTATTTTAACGTGGTGCTATCAGAGTAGAAGAAATGCAGAAAAGAAGTTAAGGTGGGCAAAGGCTGATATTTTGACTCTTTATTTGGAATTAAGGAACGTTATTGGTAGGATAGAACTCTTGGTAGATCAGTAGTTTAAGTGCAAGGTTGCTAAAGGTTTGCATTGCAAACCCACCATCTGCTCCACCAGAGAGAGATGGGGAAGTCTGTTGCCCTAAAATTTTACAGGAAGTTTCTACTCTGTCCTATA